TGGCTTTTAAAGGCCAAGAGAATAAGATAATGTCCGATATTAAACTTAAAAAGAAAATGTTAAGTTGTTTCCTCACATCTTGTTTGGTAAGGCTTTAAAGTATTTACACACGACTCATTACTGCTGTGCTGTCAAGCTTTTGATTCATCTTTTTATAACATTTGAGAATTCAACGTGGGGTTAAGATATCTGCCAGTGTGTCATCTTCCCTCATGTTCAGTGTTTCATCTTGTGCATTTAATTTTTTTTTGTTTTTCACCTGTCACCGGAAATCTAGTTCAGTAGAAAATAAAATCACACGTACATCATTTTTTTACTGTTTCACAAAAAATAAGCGCAAGTGTTGCAGTAACACTTTGAAACTGCAAGGACCAAGAGTCAGATTTAGAATATTCTTCACTCATGGGCAAGTTCATCACAGCCTCACATTTATTCTTGCATTTAAACAAACTTATTTTCTAAAGCAAAATTAGTCATTTTAACCTAACTATGAGCCCCAAGTGTTAAAATTTGGGTTGTAGAATTCCTTCATTTTTGTCATGATTACAACCTTTCCCTAATTAATCACATTAGTCATTTTCTGATGTGTTCTAATTTAAAGTAATAATTCAGCATTAGCCGCATCACTTTATCTATTTTTAGTTTCATTTGTCTGCTTTAAGTTCTTCCATCACCTCTAACATGTTGTTTCCCCACGTTCTTGGGCTGTGTTGGTGCTCCAGAACCGACAAAACGTATTCTTTCCTTCCAAGGGTTGGCTGAACTGGCGCACCGGGAGTATCAGTCAGGGGACTTTGAGGCAGCTGAACGCCACTGCATGCAGCTATGGAGGCAGGAGCCTGATAACACAGGCGTACTGCTGCTCCTGTCCTCCATCCACTTCCAATGCCGAAGACTCGACAGGTGAGGTGGGGTGGGGGGGCTGACAACGCGCACTGAGCTTGTGGTGTGGAGGTGTCAGGAGAATAAAGGGTCTTCTTTGACATTCAGTGCACACAGCTGGTTTCGGCAGTCAAATGCAACAACTGTGCTGTCTTAAAGACAATCATGTCACTAATTTATAATCTCAGTCTCTCCTCTCTTGATTCTAACAGTCTTTTGGTGGTGGTGGTTAAACCCTTTCTTTACAGGTGCCACGGTGGAGGTTACAGGTTTTTCAAGACACATACTTAAACATTTGATCTTCTTCACTGTTTTTTTTTTTTTTTTTTAATCTTTCATTAAACCCAATGATGCAGTCTAATCCAAAGCAATTTGAATCAGTGTTTCCCCTAGGTTTATCATGGAGTTGGAGTTGAGTGGGTGTGTGGGGGATTTCACTTTGTCACCTGACTTCCACTTGGTTTTATTTATATTGACTTTTTTGATTTAAAAAAAAAAGAAGTAAATTGCAGTGCATTATTTAATATTGAAAATAGACGACAAATCCTAAGAGAAAAAGCGAGTGGACCTGCTGAACGCGGAGCTAACTCAAACAAAAAGTCGACCTCGTTATGAATGACTGAGCAGAGCAATCGTTTAGGACAGCTGAACTCTGTGAATAACATGTTTGCCATACTACTCGGATACTGCTAAAACAGATATGCAGCCTAATGAAAAAATATACAAGTAGTTACCATAATGCCATTTTGTTGCGTGATCCTAAATACTTAATCTTACTAATCTTCAACCATAGACGGTCATAGCACAGCATTCATTTTCTTGATCAGATTGCCCTGTTCAATGCAAACAGTTTGGCTGAGCGTATTCTTCCAGCCTGTTAATTACTAGGGTATAATGGAATTATCCATATCATAAAGATATTATCTTGTTGTGTGTTAAGATATGCACTAATTGAAACAGTTATCCCTTTTCACGACCTGTTCCTGACGGCTGCCTCACCTTTGTCCAACGAGGCAACAATGACAGCCACTCTTTTCCCAACTGACCAGTCACACTCATTCTGGCCCTACAGGTCTGCTCACTTCAGCACCTTGGCCATCAAACAGAACCCAATGCTGGCAGAGGCCTACTCCAACCTGGGAAACGTGTACAAAGAGCGAGGGCAACTGCAGGAGGCCATCGAGCATTATCGTCATGCACTGAGACTGAAGCCAGATTTCATAGATGGCTACATCAACTTGGCAGCAGCTCTGGTGGCCGCAGGGGACATGGAGGGAGCAGTGCAGGCTTATGTATCTGCCTTACAGTATAACCCTGTAAGTTCCCTGACCTAGTTCAAATCCCTCATCAGTAACCAACAAGTTGAGAAATTAATGTTATAACAAACATTTTTGGACTTAGGTCCTTGATCTCCAGTGAAATCTATCATTAAAAAAATGTGTGTTTTTTGTTTTTAGGATCTTTACTGTGTGCGTAGTGACTTGGGCAACTTGCTTAAAGCCCTTGGGCGTTTGGAAGAGGCCAAGGTATGTTATACCGAGATGGCGTTTGTTTAGATGTCTTGTTCGTCTTTTTGTGTGTCCCCCCCATAAAAGGCCATAGACGGTATTTCTTCTCCCCCCTTTTTTGAGATTTTTCAGCCAATTTAAGTCTTTTCCCTTCAACCCTCTTAGCCAAGTGAAAGTAGCTCTTTCTCCTTTCTTTTGGAGTTGTACTTCTGACTCCTAACATACTAAAAATCTTTTTTGATGCATTGGACTTCATCGAGATTTCTATATTGAAATAGATATGTTTTTTAAGCATAGTTCACTTTAAAACAAATCCCCTCATTGTGTATCATTCTAAGTCCAAAAGTCCTCTGTGTTACCTCGACCTTTTGGCCAGAGGTCAGCCCCTCCCCTTTCAGGAAGAAAGGCTGAAGTTTATAATTTGAAATGATAAATCTGTATAGTCACTTGTGGACCTCGGCCCATGCATTTTCATAAAGTTGACTTTGGAGGGAAAATGCTGGCTCGGTCTTTGAAGAATATATGAACTGATGAGACTCTAGTTTATTTTGCAGTACAAAAGATAAGATGGCTTCTAACCTCACTGCTATACTCCAGATTATTATTAAGCAGTTACTGCCTGTATGGGTGATTTACTTTTGAAAGTATTATACTTCCCCTTGTAATTGAATACCGTTTGTCCATTTTAGAGGGGGGGCGTTCCCAGGGTTGGGGGGGAATTGTAAATGTGGAGTTGTCCCACTGGTTACAGGCCATCTTATATTGTGCTTTGGGGGGTTTAAGGAGTGGGGAGGAGCATCAGGGAGTCACAATCTCCCCTGCTCTGTCGCTCCACCCCCCCGCGCGCTCGCTAAGGATAGGTGGAGTGCGCGCGCTCAGAGTTGTCTTCCTGACCAGTTGGGGCCCAAACACACCCAGACAGAGCTTATTATTGACACCGCTCATTGGTTTGATGTTTTACTGTTGTCGATAATAGAAATATTGTCGATACTGGGGAAAAAAACAAACAAGCTGGTTATCTTTTGAGCACGGCATCAAACTGTAGGTTTAGGACCGCTCATTCAAGGTCCTTAAAATGGTCCCAAGTTTTATCAGGCAGACAGCTCCCATACTGCACTCCACCGCCTGCGTCAGATGCTGGGTCAGAAAAACAGATGCACGCGCAGCAACAGTGATGACCTCTTTATTTCAGAGCTGTGGAGGCTTCTAGATACAAATAATTACACCACAGACTTCTCTCCCTATCTCATTGGCCAGGATTCAAGAAAGCAGGCCAGGATAAAGAAATCAAAGCTTTAAACTATCTCATGAATATGGTCCAAGATAAAGAAAAGCAATGATTGACACTTGTAACCTTTTTGTTTTAAATATGTAACAATATTCCCAAAGTAATGGGATCAGTTCATTTGGGCAAGATCAAGCCAGTAACTGCCCTCCGGTAGTTTAATATGAAAACTAAACTCAAGGACATCTGCATCCTATCAAACTGATAAGCTGAACATATCAAAGCCTTTCTTCCCTCCCAGTTACGCTCAGAGCATTTTTTTTATTGTTTTCTTTCAAATTAAACATTCATCGCATGAATGAAAACAGGATTATTTTTTAATGTTTGTTGTGATTTGGAAGAAGCTGTTTTATTTCCATAGTAAGAAAACAATATATTGTTTGAAAACTCTTACTAACGATCTTGTTTTCTGATTTTGTCTCTTTTGGTTTTTCCACAACTGATATTGTTATTTAGAAGGTTTCAGGTGGGTGACACTATTCCTGCGTAGGTGCCTGGCGGAAAGGAACACTAGGGCAGCCTCAGTCCTCTCCTCTTCTTCCAGCCAGCTGCGGCCACCACTCTGACAAAGTCCAAAAATATGGTAACGGGTTTGTAACTGCCAACAAAAGAAAAACCACCTCACTTCATGCTTGAGCTCCTCTGTCTTGTGGCTTCCTTTTGAAGACCAACAGAAACAAAAAAAGTAACTAAACAAATGACAGTAAGCATTTCTTAAAAAATATGCTATACTAATTACGCAGTTCTGTATTAAATAAAAAGAAACTTGGATTTGGAAGCAATAATCCTGAAAATCAAGTAAGACAAGTAAACCCTCTAACTCTTACATGTTGTTTATTTTTCCTATTTTGTTTTGTTTTTTCTTCTTTATTTGGAGTTGCAGCGTTCTGATGATGCAGATATTGCGCTGTGAGTCTGCAGTAGCGCATGGGCTGCGCAGCGATTTCTCCAAGAAACCGAAACAGCGGAAAGCGCAAGCATGCGACACCCACTCCCCTCAATCCCTTTGGCCTGTTGGTTGCTGACCTCTCCCCGCTCAAAAACCAGCCTCGCTACCGAATGCTTCCACGTCTCAGAAATAATTGGCTTTTTAAAAATCATCCGGAGCAAAACCGTTACATTAATGTCTGTTCATTGGCTGTTGATCTCCAAATGCCCCACGTCTTAGAAAGACAGTGAAGCTGGTGGTTCATCCATCAGTCCCTCACAATACCCCCTTTCCCCTGAGAGCCTCTGGGAGCTGAGCGTGTGCCAGTCTGGTGTTGCAGGTGTTCTGCCAGGGGTTGTTGGTCTGCAGCTGTCTCATCTGGCCATTTAGCGGGCGCAGCAGCGAATATAATGATCTTTGCTAGGAGCAAGGTCATGCAAGCGGCATTATGGTGCATTGTTGTGGTGGTGTGGCAGCAGACAACCCACCACACGCTCGCGTTTGTTGCGCATGCATTACAGGGACCATCACTTGCACGAACCGTCAAGCATCCTAGGTTGTGAGATAATATGCAAAAACAAACTATACAGCATATCTGCTGATGTTTGTTTGTTTTAGATTTTATGATTTTATTTACCTTTTGGGGGTGCTACCTATAGGTGTTACAATTTTAGTTGGCAGCAGTGTGTACATTATATGGTAAGCATTACATTCAGTGAATGTGGTAATAACTGAAGGATGAGGGCGTTCGTGTGGGTATTGGTTGGATCCGCGCAGCGTAGGAAAAAGCAATGCAGCTTAGCGCGGCAGAGTTTTGCGCATACGAGCCCATACTGTAGACTCACTTTTTGCCATGATGGAGTATAGTTACTAATTTTACTTTCTCTGCCCTTTTTGTTTTTTCTTACTTTTATTCTCAATCTTCTATTTTTTTATTTTATTTTACAATCCCTGCCCTCCCTACCCCTCTACAAACTCTTCCTCTCCCGCTCTACCTCCTCTCCTCCTTTCCTGTGGTTTTTCATTATGAACCCACCAAAGGCTTGTTACCTGAAAGCCATAGAGACTCAACCCAACTTTGCAGTGGCTTGGAGCAACCTGGGCTGTGTGTTTAATGCCCAAGGAGAGATTTGGCTGGCCATACATCATTTTGAAAAGGTCAGTTGTTTATTTTTGCAGCTAACTTCAATCCTGTGTTCTGTCTCAGTTTTTTTTCTTGGGTTGTCCCATTATTTTTTTTTTAAAGCTTTATTTCATTTCAGGCTGTGACTCTGGACCCAAATTTCCTTGACGCATACATCAATTTAGGAAATGTTTTGAAAGAAGCTCGGATCTTTGACAGGTGAGTCCAACCTCTGATATAGTCAATAGAACAATACTCTCATGTAATCTTTTACTTAAAACATCACCCTACCACACCTACAATGGAATTTCAAACGAGTTACTTTGTCATCTCCATTACTCTTTTGTCTAAGGGGATCTTGAAGCTGTGTTTTAACATGACATTGTCAGGCAGTACAGGTTTGCTACACCCATACACAGAAATGAGGGGGGAGAAATGGAGTAGAGCAGAGTGTGTTGGTGATGACGATTGCCAACCCCATCAAAAAGCCCCTAAAATCTGCCTAAATCTCAGCAGATTCACAATGTGTTGATATTCTGGTCTCTTGACTTCACTCTCTTCACTTGGTTAATCAAGAAGGCCAATTGTAATACTGACATACTGTTTTTGTAGAGGATAACATCAGTATCTCTAAAGTACATGAATACCTACATCCATATATGGTGTACCATTGCCACCCCCTGGACATTTGTGGTATTTCTGGTTGAACATAGAAAATCCATCTGAGGAGCATGTTATTGATGGTACACCACTTTCAAGTATTCAGTGTAGTTTAAAGCTAAAAATATTTTCTCTATATACATTAAACACCATATTGTTGCCCTTTTCTCGCTAAACAGTGCTTTTGCTGGCAGCTTTGGTGTCCCCCTCACAAAATCATCTTGAGAAAATGTCCGGTTTGTTTGTCTCACCCCATAGTGAAATGAAATATCTGCCCTAGGCTGCACCTACAGAGCCATCATTATGATCAGGGCTGTAGGGAAACTGTTGAAACAGTGTTTTTATATTCTGCAGTAAATCTGTAACTGTACAATTATCAGATGTAAAATGTACAATTATGCCATTGCACTAAAGACTTGATCTTGAGCATAACTTCCTCTTTTGTTTTCAGAGCTGTGGCTGGATACCTGAGAGCCCTTAGTCTAAGCCCCAACCATGCAGTTGTCCATGGAAACCTGGCCTGTGTCTACTATGAACAAGGCCTCATCGACCTTGCTATTGACACCTACCGTCGAGCTATTGAATTGCAGCCCACTTCCCGGACGCCTACTGTAATTTGGCAAATGCCCTGAAGGAGAAAGGCAATGTAAGACAATACTTTGTGTTCATTTATTCTCTGTAGAGACAACCTTGGATTATCAAATGTATGAATAATAATTTAACTCAGAAAAGTCCCCAAATAGCAGCCAGATTTCAATCTTTAATATAATTCTGTCAATCCCAGGTTTCAGAAGCAGAAGAGTGCTACAACACAGCCTTGCGGTTGTGTCCAACACACGCAGACTCCCTTAACAACTTGGCCAATATTAAACGTGAACAAGGCAACATTGAAGAGGCAGTTCAGCTCTATAGGAAAGCACTGGAGGTGAGTAAAGAGTTTCCTGTATTTAATATTTTTCTCTATGAAAAGCCCTGTTAAACAGAAAATAATGATTTCTTTTTAATGTGAGCATGGCTCGCCTGTACCATTCTTCCAATCAACTATTCTTTTTTTTTCCATCAGGTGTTCCCTGAGTTTGCAGCAGCTCACTCCAACCTGGCCAGTGTCCTGCAGCAACAAGGCAAACTCCAGGAGGCCCTCATGCACTACAAGGAGGCCATCAGGTTTGTCTAACTTTAACCAAACCTTTACTGCAACGCTGCATGTTCAGGTTCAAACGTTTCTTCTGTTCATTAACAATTCCCATGGTTAACACTGACACCTGCCAGAATGTCACATGACATCATTTAGTCGAGTCCTGTTGTTGTGCATTCGCTTAAAGAGTTTTTTTTTTTTTTTTTTTTAGAATCAGCCCCACATTTGCTGATGCCTACTCCAACATGGGCAATACACTAAAGGAAATGCAAGACGTACAGGGAGCGCTCCAATGCTACACTCGTGCCATCCAGATCAACCCTGCCTTTGCTGATGCTCACAGCAATTTGGCTTCAATCCACAAGGTAGGAACTGATCTTAAATTAGATTTTGGTCCATAATTTTCTTTATTCCTTGCAGTCACAATGATTGACTGTAATCAGATTTGTGTCGCATCAAGTAGGACCTGATGGAGCACTGCTGTTTGAGATGTAGTGACCCACATCTCAAACAGCAGAAGCCATTTAAATTCTTTTTGTTAATTCATTTTTTTGTTTACTTCAACATAACTATAAACGGTTGCATTTGGTCAATTACAAAGTGAGAATGCCATGCTGGTCCTGGTTCCATGTTGTTTTTACTTACAGGATTCTGGTAACATCCCAGAAGCCATTGCATCATACGTACAGCCTTGAAACTCAAGCCTGACTTCCCTGATGCTTACTGCAACCTAGCCCACTGTCTGCAGGTTAATATTGTTTTTTATCTAAAATGCACAATGCTTGTAATACATCGTTCATTTTTGCTGTTCTTGAATTACAAGAAAACTTCTAAAACTCCTGTCTCTCTTGCAGATTGTGTGTGACTGGACAGATTATGACGAGCGAATGAAGAAGCTTGTTAGCATCGTGGCAGACCAGCTGGATAAGAACCGCTTGCCATCAGTGCACCCACACCACAGCATGCTGTACCCACTCTCTCATGGCTTCCGCAAGGCTATTGCTGAACGCCATGGAAACCTTTGCCTGGACAAGGTACACGCACTGATCAAAGCAAGTAACCTTTAATTATTTTTGGTGGGAATGGAAGGTGGCTGGTGATGGCAGTGGCTGTCTGCAGGGATATGGGGAAGGTAAGGGATGGGCAAAATGCTAGGTATTTTTTAGCTTTACAGAAAAGGGTGACAGCTGCTGGTGGATGGGTTGCTTGTGGGGATTGAGGATATGTTGCAAGTTTGAATATAGCTTAAGATAAATCATTGGTTAGTCTTTATGGCTGAAATGTTGGTTAAGTGGAACAACAATTTGCTCTCGTGCTGTAGTTGTAACATTATAATACTGCTTACTCCACAGATTAATGCACTGCACAAACCTGCTTTCGAGCATCCGAAGGATCTGAAGGCCAGCGGTGGACGTCTGCGTGTTGGCTACGTCAGCTCTGACTTTGGCAACCACCCTACTTCCCACCTGATGCAGTCCATTCCTGGAATGCACAATCCAGAGAAATTTGAGGTAGGTCATATGTTGATGTTGCAATGTAATTGTAGGAATTAAAAGTTGACCTGAATTTTATGTCGTCCTCATTACAATGTGAGGTCAGTGTCTAATACAAGTGATTCAATACAACACACAAAGTTGAACTTTCTCTTTTATTTTCTCAGGTGTTCTGCTATGCACTCAGCCCTGATGATAGCACCAACTTCCGTGTAAAGGTGGTAGCCGAAGCTCATCATTTCACAGACCTGTCACAGGTAAATATTTTTACTGTTTAGTGTTTTCATATTTACTGCCCTCTAACCTTTAATAATGCATCTTTAAACTGACTGATCATTTTTATTGAAGTAATTTATATACACATTTAAAAAGAAACCCCCTTCCTCTCTCTATTTCAGATTCCTTGCAATGGTAAGGCAGCTGATCGTATTCACCAGGACGGAATCCACATTCTGGTCAACATGAACGGTTACACCAAGGGAGCCCGAAATGAGCTGTTTGCCCTCCGTCCTGCTCCCATTCAGGTGATGGTGTGATCTAAGATTAAATTCAAAGTGACCTGTGCAAAGATTTAAGCTCCATAAGTAATGAAATCACCTCATTTTATGGTGGTATACATGAAACGAAGAATATACAAGTAATTGTTTCCTCCTGCTCAACAGACCATGTGGCTGGGTTACCCTGGGACCAGCGGGGCTCCCTTCATGGACTACATAGTCTCCGACAAAGAGACGTCTCCCTTTGAAGTAGCTGAGCAGTATTCTGAGAAACTGGCCTACATGCCCCACACCTTCTTCATTGGAGACCATGCCAACATGTTCCCTCACCTTAAGGTTTGTTAATCCGTCCACTGTCTCGTTAAATGAGGAACAAAAAACATATACAATGCTATTATATTTGATATGGGTATTAATGACCGTTGTTTTCTTTTTGAATCCCAGAAAAAGGCGGTGATTGATTTCAAGTCAAATGGACACATATTTGACAACCGAATTGTTCTCAATGGTATTGATCTGAAGGCCTTCTTGGACAGTCTGCCTGATGTTAAAGTGATAAAGGTGAGTCAGGAATCATTTTTTTAACGGGGTCTTTTCTTTTGGTCGTTTTTGTTGTATTGACAGTGCTTGGATTTTTTTACATCACATTTACTCTGATTCACAATAATGTAGAACAAAACAATTCTTGAGTGATGTTAGAGAGATAATCTTTTAACATTTGCTGGGTTTGACAGATTTCTGTGGTAAAACAATCAAAATAGATACAAATACAAGCTACAAAGGGGAAAATGTATTATTGTACAATTTAAGATGAAACTGTCTGTTACTAGATGAAGTGCGACAACAACCAGGAAGCTGCTGGAGACACCAATGGAGCTCTATCCATGCCTGTTATCCCAATGAACACAGCAGCTGAAGCAATCATTAACATGATCAACCAAGGCCAAATCCAAGTCACAATCAATGGCTTCACTGTCAGCAACGGCCTGGCCACCACACAGGTAAGTCTTATTCAGATGAACATAAAATGCAGAAACAGGGCGATAGCAGCAAGTGAATTTGGCTTATGCTTTTTCAGATCACAGATTTGATTGTAGTCTCCAAGACTCTGACCTTACAGGTATGAGGTTTTCATGAATGTAAGGTGGAGGCGCAGAACTGTTGGTAAATGATGGGTTCGGGTTAATGATGGCACTATGGATTGGCACTAATTTATTATCTGTAGACTCGACACAATCAAGTGGTTCAAATAATCAAGACTAATCACACTCTTCAGAGACAAAGCATTGAGGCTACTGCTTTTCTAAACAACTGTTTGTCATCAATTTTAGATCAACAACAAAGCTGCCACTGGAGAGGAGATGCCTCGCACAATCGTAGTGACAACACGCTCCCAGTATGGTCTGCCAGAGGACTCCATCGTCTACTGCAACTTCAACCAGCTCTACAAGATTGACCCCCCTACTCTTCAGATGTGGGCCAATGTAAGTTCAATGGATTGCCTATAAGAACTGCTTGGAGGTTTCCTTCAGCAACTCAACTGTAAATAGTTTTTTCCTATGTCTCTTCAAAATCCTTTTTTTTTTTTTTTTTTTTTATTGAGTACACAGATAAAATATACAACTTCAGGAGATGCTTTTCAGTTACACTTGTCCATTTTCTCATGAAATCCTAACATGCCATTTTACTAAACAACTACACATCCATATCCATACATGTATACATACACCCTTTCCTTCATACCTACATTAGATAGACATAAACTTACATGCATACATCTAACCACACATAGGGCAGCCTTCACATCTTTTTTCAATCCTTTTTCCTTGATTAACAACTTCTGCAAACATATTGGTAATTTGCTATACAATATACAAGTGCATTTAAAGTAAAATAAACTAATTAATTAAATTAAAAATAAAAATATTAAGGTGACTAGAGCCCAGGCATTACCTGCATCACTGGGGCCCATTTGACATCAAATCTATTTGTTTTCAGATGTAATCTGGCTGTGATTTTTTTTTTCCATGATGAAAACATTTTTTAATCATAAGCACGGAAATCAAGTCTCTGTCCATGTTGGTATCAGGAGCTATACCTAAAATAAAGAGTGAAGGATCCAAGATTACCCTGATGCCCAGAATCTGACTTATTTCTTTTTGTAAATTTTTCCAAAAGTCTAAAAATTTTGAGCAGTCCCAAAAAATGTGTGTAAAATCCCCCACTAGTCCACATCCCCTCCAGCACAAGTCAGAAGTACTGCTGTATTTTGAAGTGATGGATGCAGTGTTGAAGTATTGCATTTTGACTTTCCAGTTAAACTCCCTCCACATTGGACTGTGTGTTAATTTGTGTCCCTCTTTGAATGATTCCTCCCGTTGCTCATCTCTTTATAATAATGTTTGTTTCTAGTTCCCATTTTTCTTTAACCCTCATGTTGTTATCTTCAGATTCATGTTGTAATGCTTTATACATTATTGAAATTTCAAAATCCATTTTTAACCTCTGCATTCTCTGCAGATCCTGAAGCGTGTGCCCAACAGCGTGTTGTGGCTTCTTCGCTTCCCAGCAGTGGGCGAGCCCAACATCCAGCAGTACGCTCAGAACATGGGTCTGCCTGGCTCTCGCATCATCTTCTCTCCTGTGGCCCCTAAGGAGGAGCATGTTAGAAGAGGCCAACTGGCCGATGTGTGCCTGGACACTCCGCTCTGTAACGGTCACACCACAGGCATGGACGTCCTCTGGGCTGGAACACCCATGGTCACCATGCCAGGTAAGGACATCAGGTTATCAAGTGACTGATTTATAATCTCTGATCATTAATAGAATGAAAAACATTTTTTGTCAGCTTCACAGTAAAATACTTTTGTGTTGGGCTGAATTTAAATAAAAGCTGCTTTTTAATTTTCTTTGTCAAGGTGAGACCCTTGCCTCCCGTGTTGCCGCCTCACAACTGAGATGTTTGGGCTGCCCGGAGATGATAGCCCTGAGTCGCCAGGACTACGAGGACATCGCAGTAAAACTGGGCTCTGACATGGAATTGTAAGTCAATTGATCTAAATTCTTTTGTGTTATTCATGTTGACTGTGAAACCTGACCATTTTGTCTCCTTCAGCCTGAAGATGGTGAGAGCCCGTGTTTGGAAGCAGCGAATCTGCAGCCCTCTTTTCAACACCAAGCAGTACACAATGGACCTGGAGAGGCTCTATCTGCAGATGTGGGACCACCATAGCAAAGGCAACAAGCCAGAGCACATGGTCCAAACAGTAGAGGCCAGTGAAAATGCCTGAGCTGGAAGCATGTTTAGTTATTTTTCCTTCCACCCACACCATATCGAACCATCCTCGTCCCTTTTTTTCTTTTAAACCATTTTCTGCCCCATAGTCTGGAATGGTCAGTTTTCTCACCAACCCTCTTCCCCAGTGAACGTCTCCATCTCTCTCTCTTTAAATGGAACTCTTTATGTGAAGGAGCCAACAGATGTACACATCAGTCCACTGACACATGCACCAGTGCATCACACACCTGCATTTCTTGAGCCAGATAGAGCCTGAGTCTTTCAGGTTGATAATCTGAGACTCTTGTCCTAAAAAACAGTTTATTTGGTGAGCATGAGAGGATTGAGTACCTGCTTACCCCTTCACTTCTTGGATCGGTGGATTTCTTTTTGCTTGTCAGTGTATATAAGACTTATTGCAGCTTTTGGAGAGAATGCCCAGCAGTCATTATTTGTTGATCTATTTATAAATGGATTAAGAGTGTTGTGTGTTTTAAAAGGACTATGTTGCACCATGAAAATTGTAACTGACTTTAAGTTTCATCAGCTTTAACATGCAAGTGTAAAACATAGGTTGTGACTGCTCTTTAGTTTGTCTTAAGCTGTTATTAAATTACTGCAATGAATAGATTTGCAAGTTCTAAGAAAAAATGTCTATGTAGACATCTACCCCCCCACACCAAATGCCAACTTTTAATTGATTTTGTTGTCAATCAAGGAATATGTTAAGTAGCTGTCAATGTGTTTGATGTCACACTAAGATAATTGGACAAAGGAGCTTCAACTCATTGGAAAGGGCCGATAATGCTCTTTAGATATCAGAGCTGTTCACAAGAAAAGATCTTGTTTGGTTTTTTTTAAATCACTGAAACCAGGAACGGCCTAGGTAAGTATTTTCTATGCGTTTTTCTTTTTGTATTGTCTGATAACTGTATGCTGTCAACAATGCCACAAGGTTCAAGATACTATAAAAAATAAAGAGATGAAAAACTCTGTACTCTTCCATTGCACTCAGTTGATTTGTTCATAAGTAAAACAATAAAGACTTAAAGCAAACGGCCTGTGATAATTTTCAAGATTACTGTACATGTAAGAAATCTGAAGGTGATTTCCAGTGGATTTTGTGCAGACTACATTTTGAGATTGTGTCTGAGGTTTGATTTTACAGGTGCTGCACAGATCAGTACTCTATGGCTACCAAATGTTATTGATTTGCCTTTACTCGCATTCTGGTGAGTAAATCACCAATCAAGTCTCAAATCAATTAAAATGTGAAAAAGTCCTGTCTTTTCCGCTTTTTAACGTAAAAAGTGCAAATGCGGCATTTGCATATCAGACTGAGGGAATTATTTAAAAACCTTTTAAACTATATCTTTAAAAACGTTTTTACGTTTCCATATAAAAAGTATCGAAATAGTACTTTTGGATTGAGAACCTTAAAAAATGAAGAGTAAAGGGCAACCATAGACTAAATATTACAGGGACAACGCATTTTCATTTCAGGTACTCTGGTGTATCTTTGTCATATGTAGATTGGATTTAAATCAGTGTATAAAAATAAAAAATAAAAAATGCATCATTGCATTCAGATTTAACACGTACATCAGCGTAGTAGAGCAGTTTGTGTCTGTGAAAAGTAAAAACAATTATGAGAAACGACGAAAAAAGAAGGCGGAGAATAACGTCAGCCACATGCGTCACTATGAGTCTATTCCAATTGGTCAAAGTCTTTGTGACAACTTCCGGTATTAAAGGCCTACAAGATTTGAATCTTCCTCGCTTCCTGCCGAGTCTTTCTCTCTCACAACAACAGAGGCGCGTTCTGAATCATAATCCCAGTAAGAATATATTTAAGTGATATAACCCATACACTATTGGAAGTTAACATAATGTAAACTAAACGAGAACACTAAAGCATTTTCATAAGTTAACTTAAGTCCGCACATGACTTTTGCAATAGCTAACAAGTTGCTAAGGGTAACGCCGACGTTCAGCTGCCCGTACGGGTCATTTAATGTTTCCTCTTTAAAGCTTGAATATGCGGTCAGCGCTGGACTTTTAATGCTAAACACTGCAATGCTGATTTTCATTTTTATTTTCACAGAGCAAAGACAACTATGAATAATGACACATCCAAATTATTTGAAAGAGTGGCCAAAAAGATGGGATGGTGTGCAGACGGAGGACTGGACACCGCAGAAGAAAAGGTTTGCTGTTTACTTTGTTTGTTTGTTAGGATCCCCATTAGCTGTACCCGTCAGCTCAGCTATTCTTCCTGTTTGTTAATTTCTTTTTCTCTTTCTTGACTTTTACTAGCTGATGAGCAAAATTGGCAAAACACGCAATTGTGCCACAAGTGGTGATCGACCTCCATCAGCCTCTCGTGTCCAGGTTTCCTCACCTGACAGTGACGATGATCCAGATAAGGAGAACCAGTTCTCCATGGGCAACAATTACAGAACAAAATATTTGATAGAGTCCAGTGATGATGACTTTGACCAATGTGAGTGATTGTAAAATATATAAATAATGTATACGATGACACAACTCAAAATCATTTGTTTGTTTTTTGTCACTTTTTTCCCCCCTTAGTTCTTGTGGGAAGGGCTACACCTACACCAAAAGCTAAACCTAGATCCAAAACACCATTAAGTGCTGTCAAGAAAGAAAGGTAAAAAAAAAAAGAAGAAGAAGCTTAATCTGGTTTAATTTTTTCCTGTTGGTTGTCTCATAATATTTTTTGTCATTTTCAGGTCAAAGGTTCTTGTGGTGAGCTCGGATGAAGATGTCAGTTTTGAGACATGTGAGTAGTGTTTATCTGCTGGGTGAAGTTGTGTGTATCAGTAAGCCTTCATCATAAACGTGTCATATTCACTTTGATCTTTACTGGTTTAAATTTAACGTAGATTTAGCCCTCATACTATATATCCATGTTTTATGCATTCAAGTTCTACAACGAGTGAAAACGCCTAATGTCAAGCCGAGGAAAAAATCTGAAAGTTCGAGTGAAGACAGGTGAGTTATGAGGTCTTCCCCTCTAAAAGCATTGTCACTGTCTGAAAACCTGCGTTCATTTATTTATCCCTCCTGTTTGTTCTAAAGCCTCAAAAACTTCATAGTGCCTGACCTGTCATTTGATGACGACTTTATTGAGACAAAATCATCTATTAAAGGTAAGCTTGACTTTCTTAATCTTACCTATTTTTTTCTAGTCAAACAAAATGAAGAACTAACTGTATGTGTGAAATAGGAATGTAACAGAGGTCAGAGGTCACGGTTCAGTTCTTACCTCAGTTTTTGGGTTTTTTTTTTGGGGGGGGGGGTCACTGTTTGGTATGAGTTTTTTCTCAGCAGGAAAAAGTAACAAAGTCTGGAATGCAGTATTTCCAGGTATTGCTCATGTATTTTGAACTGACAGTAGTGTAAGTTACAGTCTGTTCCATTTTGTGTTATTTAGAACTTCCTGTGATAGATGGGTACAGCCTGTAGTGTATTAAACATTCAAATAAAAAAGAGGAAAACAAATCAGAATTATGCAGAAGATAGTAATACAAAAAACTTCCCCCGATTTGAACATGTAAAATAAATACAATTTAAACTATAAGACTAAATAAAACAAGTGCCTTTAGGATCAGTGTTCCATATATATGATATATGAATTGTGAGGTCACAGTTTTTAGCAAACAGTGGGTGCAGCAGTGTTCATGCTCAATCACCGCTCTTGTACTCTAGTGAAGAATGGACCACAGATGGGCTCATGTCTGCACAGGATGGGAATTGTAAAGGGCTTGGGCAATACACACTTAAGGAAGGTGCCCTCTACTACTGCATATGCGTGGATAAATGAATAATCTATTGTATCAATACTGAGACTTTATATATTGAATTTGAGTGTGGCAAACTTTATGTGGATGTATTTTAAGCACTGCTTCTGTTCTCACTTTGAATCTGAAGAGGGCAATAAAAAGTGCAACCAACACTTCTTTGGATTGTGTGAACTCTGCTGCCTTTGTTCTCCGTTTCAGTATAAAATGTAGTAAAGATTATCAACTTGGAAGAGAAGTTTTTTTTTTTTTTTTGTTAAGCATTGCACTATTTTTCTTGTGTTTACTCTTTTATATTCAAAGTGTATCCCTTATTTACTTACAAAGAACAACTTCTAGGAATCCTCACCTGTACTGTCCAGTATTCAGGTGTTTATTTCTCCGTCACAATGGTTGAACTTCTGGCCAAAAGAAATTACTGAATCGATTTGAAGTTATTGAATCTTATCTAATCGAATCTTTCTAGAGAAGCCAAGAATCGTCCTTGAATCGAATTGTAACCGTGGAAAATTATACTTATGGTATCATAGTAAAAATAAAGCGTTACACCCCTACCGCACTGTGAACGTGAAGTTTACCCACACAATGTCACCTTTTTACTGTCTATTACTCCTCTTCTTAGTGTGTTTTGTTGTGTCTGCTTCTTCCTCTTCATTTGTTGTTTAACAGCACTTAGTTAACGAGCTGTACTGCCACCTGAGTTTGAGTGTTGTACTTCCGTGTGTGATTGCTTTTTTTTTTCTCCATACAGAATTATTCAGTGATAACCGTTTGCATCAAACAGTGACTTCTGAACCGTGACCGTGAGGGACAAATACAGTTACAGGCCTAGTGTGATATGATGATGATGTGTGTTTTGCAGTGCCCAAGAAGAGCAACACTCTAGCAGCTCAGCATCCGTTGAGGAGGCCGCTGTCTCAGTGTGACTCACCGGTTTTTGTTAGTGACAGTGATGAGGATGACAACAATATTGTGGTCAAGAGCACGTGGAGGACCCGTCACTCGAAACCAAAGCCACCTCAAAAGCCTACAAAGAATAATGTTCTGCTGCTTAGTGACGAAGAAGACAGTTCCCCATCACTGCCTTTGCCTCCAGTCCCATCCCCTTTTTCACTGCCTCCTCACAGAGCTCTTACTTCACTGGCCTCTCAGAAACGCACACTTTCCGCCCCTTCTAAGTTGGAAGGGTCAGAAAGTTCTGAGGAGGAGTTCACGTCTCTACTGGAGAGGCTGAAGAGGAAAAACAAGCTCACTGGCATGCCATTCTCACCTCGGAACACCCACGGTAACAATATTGTATTTGGAACGGATCCAGCTATTGCTTTGATGCTACTTGTGAGGAAGATCATTAATATTTTGTTTTGGGTTTTTTTTTTGTTTTCTTTTTAGAATTCAATAATGAGCCGGGTCCTTCTGTAAAGGGGCTCAAAACACAAACCTCTACATCTTTAAGTCAATCACCTCTGCAAACGAAGACACCAGGAAAATCTACCATCTTGAAGCCCACAGTCAGTCAGACGGAGCCCAGGCCTGGCCCCACCAGCAGGTACATCCACCTGTTAGAAGTACTTTCTTACTTTGTTATTCATAGACTTTGTTTCTATTTCATACACAGACATTTGCTCCTTCTAGTTCACCCTGTTTTTTTCCTTAAAGGGTGGCATCGTGTAAGACTCCAGGGTGCTTTTTAACGTCCTTATCGAACCCTGGGGCCAATTATGGACGTCATTTCAAGCAGAACAAGGAAGAACTCACCGGGAAACTCTTCCAGCTGTACAATACCTCTGTGTTTGACAGTAAGGTAATGGACAACCCCTTTTTTTTTTTTTCACTTTACATTATTTTTAGAAACATCATCTGTTTTCGAATGAATGTAAACTTAACATAAGTGAACACGAATATATTTTCTTTTCCTCATCATGATGTCTAGCTCCCCATCAATATGTCGGTTACTTGGAATAAGAAGATGCGTAAAACGGCAGGTTACTGTATCACAGGGCAAGAGCGAGGTGGAGGAAGCCGCTACGCCCGCATTGAGCTGTCAGAGAAAGTCTGTGATTCTGCAGGTAATGTTTACTAAACCAGACTAACTACGGTTAACATCCTCTCTTATTGTAAGTACATCGTGTGTCATCAGTGTAAAGATTTCAGTTAAGATTTGATTGAAACTCTTCACATT